AGGAAAGGTTTCAGATAGCCAGCCTGTTGAGTTGAAAGAACCAAAGAAGACATAAAACATTAGTTAAGGAGACATCTGCTACTTCATATGTGAAAGCAGAAGCACATACCTACAAGCACTATTAAAAACCAAGGAAATATAGTATAACAAAAAGAAAACAATTCTCTAACAACTAAGCTCAAAGGTATAGAACATTGTGATTTAACTAATAAAGAATACAAAATAGCTGTTATGAAGAAATTCAGTGAGCTACAGGAAACCTCATACCACAATTCAATGACCTCAGGAATAAAATTAATTAAAAGAAGGAGTTCTTTACCAAAGAGATTGAAATTATATAAAAAAATAGAAATTCTGGAGCTAAAGAATTCAAAATGAGAATAAGAATGCAATAGAGAGTACCAGTAATAGAGCAAACCAGATGGAAGAAAGAATAATGACTTGGAGGGTAGGAATATAGAAATAATTCAGTTAGAAGAGGAGAACAAACTAAGATTTTTAAAAAGTGAAGAAACCCTATGAGAGCTATTGTTTTCTATCAGAAAGGCAAATATTAGAATATTTGGTGTTCTAGAAGGAGAAGAGAGGGAAAAGAGGGCAGAAAGTTTATTTAAATAAATAAAACCTGAGAATTTCCAAACCTGGGGAAGGACTTGGACATACAAGTCCATGATGCTAATAGAAGACCCTATTATCTCAATGCAAAAGGACCTTCTCCAAGACACATTATAATGAAACTGTCAAAAATCAATGATAAAGAAAGAATATTAAAGGCAGCCAAGGAAAAAAAGAAAGTAACCTACAAATGAACCCCCATTAGGCTATCAGTGGATTTCTCAGCAGAAATTCTACAAGCCAGGAAAGAATAGAATGACATATTCAAAGTGCTGAAAGACAAAATTATTTTGTCTTTTAAACAAAAGTATTTAAACCAAGAATACTTTATCTGGCAAAGTTATTCTTCAGATATGAAGGAGAAATAAAGGTTTTTCCAGACAGACAAAACCTGAGGGAGCTCAGCACCACTAGCTTTGCCTTACAAGAAAAGCTGAAGGGATTTCTTCAAGCTGCAATGAAAAGATGCTACTCAGTGACATGAAAACATATGAAAACATATGAAAGCACACAACAATCTGGCAAAGGTGAAAAATAGACAGAATTAGAAAACTGTAACTCTTATATATAAGTGGTGTGTTAACCACTTAACTATAGTATAAAGACTAAAGGAAAAGACTATTAAAAATAACTACAGGTGATGTCAGCAACATGATGGAGTGAGCTGTTCCCTGTGTCTCTCCCCCTTTGATCTACAACTAAAAGGACATTCATTGATCAGCAGAGGATACCCACACAGCACATCAGGACGTCTGAGAGACCTGAGCACATATACATCTGAAGGTTGATGGACTACCCCCCGAGGAGGTTGTGGAGATAGTTGAGCACCATCTGGACCCCAGGCAGCCCAGCGCACACATGCAACTACTTTCCCAGCTGAAGCGACCATAGCACCACGGCAGACTGGAGAGCGGGAGAGTGCCTCAGCATGACTGTGGAAACAGGTGATGGCAGCCCTGAGCCCCCTGTGTGATCACTTCCCCCTCTAGTGGGAGAGCCTTCAGGGCCACACAGCCCACAGAGAGTGACACAGGTTTTGACCCAGTGGGGAAGCCCCGCCCTCCAAGCACAAAGGCTGATGCAACCTAGCAGGCTAAGTGCCAGTGAATAAGCCCCTGGCTGCCATGAATGCCCATAGTACTGCAGTGGCCCTGAAGTGAGGGGCACAACTCTGTGGGTCTGTGGGAGAAGGCAGCAGTAGACCTGAGCTCCTGTGTAATCACTCTCTTGTCCAGTGGGAGAATCCACAATCCCACCAGGGACCTAGGGAGTAGTTTTGGCTCAGACCCAGAGGAGAGGTCCCACTCATCAAGCACCATGGCCAGTGCAACCTAGGAACAGAGGGCTGCAGAAACTGAACAAGCCCCTGGCTGTCGTGAATGCCCATAGTACTGCTGCAGCCCTGAAGGGGGGAGAACAACTTGACAAGACTGTGGAAGCAGGTGACAGCAGCCCTGAGCCCCCCACATGACTACTTTCCCATTTGGTGGGAGACCACACAGGGCTGCTGTGATCCCAAGGAGTGACCTAGAGTCGGACAGGCACAGCTGACAGGGATCACGGCAGCAGGCTCAGATTACACAGCTTCTGCCCCACAAGTGGCAGCAGGTGGAACCTGCATCCAGAAACTAGCACTATGCACCGGCACAAATCCAATCCATCAAATGGTATAAGGAAATATATTAGGGGCCTGCCCAGTGGCATAGTGGTTGAGTGCGCACACTTCACTGCGGCAGCCTGGGGTTCACAGGTTCGGATCCTGGTTGCACACCAATGCACCGCTTGTCAAGCCATGTTATGGCAGCATCCCATATAAAGTAGAGGAAGATGAGCATGGATTTTAGCTCAGGGCCAATCTTCCTTGGCAAAAAAGAGGAGGATTGGCAACAGATATTAGCTCAAGGCTGATCTTCCTCACACACACAAAAAAAGAAATATATTAATACCCCAGACCAGAAGGAAAAAGACAAGCACCCAGAAATCAATCCTGAAGGCACGGAAATCTACAATATAAATGACAAAGAATTCAAGACAGCCATGATAAGAAAACTCAATGAGCTACGAGAGAATTCTGAAAGACAGTTCAATGAAATCAGGAACCAAATTACTGAACAGAGGGAATTCTTCACAAAAGAGATCAAAACTATAAAGAAAAACCAAACAGAATTGTTAGAGATGGAAAACACAATGGATGAGATAAAGAAAAATCTGGAGTCCTTAAACAACAGAGCTGACAAAATGGAGGATAGAATTAGCAATCTGGAGGATAGGAACACACAAATACTTCAGATGGATGAGGAGAGAGAACTTAGACTAAAAAGAAATGAAGAAATTCTCCAAGAAATATACAACTCAATTAGGAAATGCAACATAAGGATTATAGGCATTCCAGAGGGAGAAGAGAGGGAACAAGGAGCAGAGAGCTTGTTCAAAGAAATAATAACTGAGAAGTTCCCAAACCTGGAGAAGGAGCTGGAATCACATGTAAAAGAAGCCAACAGAACTCCTAATTACATCAATGTAAAAAGACCTTCTCCAAGGCATATATTAGTAAAGCTGGCAAATGTCAACAATAAAGAAAAAATATTAAGGGCAGCAAGGCAGAAGAGAATAACTTACAAAGGAAGCCCTATAAGGCTTTCAGTGGATTTTTCAGCAGAAACCTTACAGGCTAGGAGAGAGTGGAATGATATATACAAAATTATGAAAGACAAAATCTTTCAGCCAAACATACTCTACCCAGAAAAAATATCCTTCAGATATGATGGAGAAATAAAAATTTTCCCAGATAAATAAAATCTGAGGGAGATCATTGCCACAAGAACTCCCCTACAAGATTTTATCAAGAAGGATATCATACCTGGAAAAAAAAAGAAAGAAAGGGTTAACAAAGCCTTGAGCAAGGGGATAAATAGGCAGACAAAATCAGAAAATTGCAACTCTCTATCAGAACAGATTAGCAAACACTTAATTATAACTCTAAAGATAGAGGGAAGGGGCCGGCCCCATGGCTTAATGATTAAGTGTGCGTGCTCTACTACTGGTGGCCTGGATTCGGATCCTGGGTGTGCACCAAGGCACCCCTTCTTCAGCCATGCTAAGGCCACGTCCCACATACAGCAACAGAAGGATGTGCAACTATGACATACAACTATCTACTGGGGCTTTGGGGACAAAAAAAGGAGGAGGATTGGCAATAGATGTTAACTCAGAGCTCGTCTTCCTGGGCAAAAAGAGGAAGATTAGCATGGATGTTAGCTCAGGGCTGATCTTCCTCACAAAAAAATAATAAAAATAAAGACAAAGGGAAGGAAAACATCAAAAATAAATATTATCACTTCATTTTAACCACAAATTCACAGCACATAAGGGAATAAGTTGTGACAACAACAACTTAGAAAAAGAAGAGAAAAAGGGATGAAACCTGCTTAGACCAAGGGAACAAGACACTATCAGGGAATGGACTATCTCATCTATGAGATCTTTTATACAAACTGCATGGTAAGCACTAAATAAAAATCAGAACAAACACACAAATGATAAATAAAGAGAAAACTGAAAATACCATCATAGAGAGCTACCAAACTGAATTAGCAGTCCAAAATACACGGGACAAGAAAGAAGGGAAGTATATAATAACTTAGAAACAGGTGATAAAATGGCAGCATTAAGCCCTCATATATCAATAATCACTCTAAGTGTAAATGGATTGAATTCCCCAATCAAAAGACACAGAGTGACTGGGTGGATTAAAAAACAAGACCCAACAGTATGTTGCCTCCAGGAAACACATCTCAGCTCTAAAGACAAGCACAGGCTTAGAGTGAAGGGATGGAAGATGATACTCCAAGCTAATGGCAAACAAAAGAAAGCTAGTGTTATCATACTTATATCAGACAAAGTAGACATCAAGATAAAAAAGGCAATGAGACGCAAAGAGGGGCAATATAAAATGATAAAAGGAACACTCCACCAAGAAGACATATCACTTTTATAAATAGATATGCACCCAACACAGGAGCATCAAAGTACATAAAGCAACTATTAACAAACCTAAAAGGAGATATCAACAACAACACAACAATAGTAGGGGAGATTAACACCCCACTTACCTCAATAGATGATAGATCATCCAGACAGAAAGTCAATAACAAAATAGCGGACTTAAATGAAAAACTCTTCCAGATGGACTTAATAGATATACAGAGGACACTCCATCCAAAAACAGCAGATTACACATTTTTCTCAAGCATGCATGGAACATTCTCAAGGATAGACCATACATTGGGAAAAAAGGCATGCTTCTATAAATTTAAGAAGATTGAAATCATAACAAGCATCTTTTCCAACCATAATGCTATGAAACTAGAAATTAACTACAAGAAAAATCTGGGAAAGTGGCAAAGATGTGGAGACTAAATAACTTGCTACTGAACAAGCAATGGATCATTGAAAAAATAAAAGGAGAACTCACAGAACATCTGGCAATAAATTAAAATGAAAATACACCATACCAACTCATATGGGATGCAGCAAAAGCAGTCCTGAGAGGGAAATTCATAGCGATACAGGCCCATCATAACAAACAAGAAAAATCTCAAATAATCTTAAACTACACCTAACAGAATTAGAAAAAGAAGAACAAACAAAGCCGAAATTCAGAAGGAGGGAAATAATAAAAATTAGAGCAGAAATAAATGAAATTGAAACCAAAAAAGAAAAACAGTAGAAAGGATCAATGAAACAAAAAGCTGGTTCTTTGAGAAGATAAACAAAATTGACATATTCTTACCCAGACTCACCAAAAAAGAAAAAAAAGAGAGAGAAGGCTCAAATAAATAAAATTAGAAATGAAAGAGGAGAAATTACAATGGATACCACAGAAATACACAGGATTATAAAAAAATATTATGAAAAACTATATACCAACAAATTGGGCAATCTACAAGAAATGGATAAATTCTTAGACTCATACAACCTCCCAAAACTGAATCAAGAAGAATTCGAGAATCTGAACAGACCAATCACAAGTAAAGAGATTGAAAAAGTAATCAAAAACCTCCCAAAAAATAAAAGTCCAGGACCAGATGTCTTCTCTGGAGAATTTTACCAAACATTCAAAGAAGATTTAATACCTATCCTTCTCAAACTATTCCAAAAAATAGAGGAAGATGGAACACTTCCTAGCACATTCTATGAGGCCAACATTGCTCTCATACCAAAGCCAGAAAAGGACAACACAAAGAAGGAAAATTACAGGCCAATATTGCTGATGAACATAAATGCAAAAATCCTCAACAAAATATCTGCAAACAGATTACAGCAATGCATTAGAAAGATCATACACCATGATGAAGTGGGATTTATACCAGGGACACAGGGAAGGTGCAACATCCACAAGTCAATCAATGTGATACACCACATCAACAAAACGAGGAATAAAAACCACATGATTATCTCAATAGATGCAGAGAAAGTATTTGACAAGATCCAACATCCATTTAGGATAAAAACTCTCAAGAAAATGTATATTAAAGGAAAGTACCTCAGCATAATAAAGGTGATATACGACAAACCGATAGCCAACATTATACTTAACGAGGAAAACTGAAAGCCATCCCTCTGAGAACAGGAACACTCTTATTCCACATAGTACTGGAAGTTCCGGCCAGAGCAATTAGGCAAGAAAAAGGAATAAAAGCAATCCAAATAGGCAATGAAGAAGTGAAACTCTCGATGTTTGCAGATGACATGATCTTGTATATATAAAACACTAAATAGTCCATCATAAAACTATTAGAAATAATCAACAACTACAGCAAAGTTGCAGGGTAAAAATTCAACTTATAAAAGTCAGTTGCATTTCACTACTCTAATAACAAACTAACAGAAAGAGAACTCAAGAATACAATCTCATTTACAATGGCAACAAGAAGATTAAAATATCTAGGAATAAATTTAACCAAGGAGGTGATAAATCTATACAATGAAAACCAGAAGACATTATTGAAAGAAATCGATGACGACATAAAGAAATGGAAAGATATCCCATGCACATGGATTGGAAGAATAAACATAGTTAAAATGTCCATACTACCTAAAGCAATCTACATATTCAATGCAATCCCAATCAGATTCCCAATGACATTCTTCATGGAAATAGAACAAAGAATACTAAAATTCATATGAGGCAAGAAAAGCCACCAAATAGCTAAAGCAATCCTGAGAAAAAAGAACAAACATGCAGTCTTCACAATCCTTGACTTCAAAATATACTACAAAGCTTTAACAATCAAAACAGCATGGTACTGGTACAAAAACAGACATACAGATCAATGGAACAGAATTGAAAGTCCATAAACAAAACCACACATCTATGGATAGCTAATCTTTGACAAAGGAGCTAAGAACATAGATGGAGAAAGCAAAGTCTCTTCAGTAAATGGTGTTGGGAAAACTGGACTGCCATATGCAAAAGGATGAAAGTAGACCATTATCTTTCACCATACACAAAAATTAACTCAAAATGAATCAAAGACTGGAAGGTAAGACCTGAAGTTATAAAACTCCCATAAGAAAATATATGCAGAACATTCTTTGACATCGGTCTTAGACAGATCTCTTCGAATTCCATGTCTACTCGGATAAGGGAAACAAAAGAAAAAAATAAACAAGGGGTACTTCATCAGACTAAAGAGCTTTTGCAAGGCAAAGGAAACCAGGATAGAAATGAAAAGACAACCCACCAGCTGGGAGAAGATATTTGGAAGTCATATATCTGACAAGGGGTTAATTTTCATAATACACAAAGAACTCACACAACTGAACAGCAACAACAAAATAACCTGATCAAAAAATGGGCAGAGGATATGAACAGATATTTTTCCAAGTAAGATATACAGATGGCCAATAGGCACATGAAAAAATGTTCAACGTCAGTAATCATCAGGGAAATGCAAATCAAAACTACACTAGGATACCACCTTACACCCGTGAGAATGGCTATAATCACCAAGACAAAAAATAACAAATGTTGGAGAGGATGTGGAGAAAAAGGAATCCTCATTCACTGCTGGTGGGAATGCAAACTGGGGCAGCCTCTATGGAAAACAGTATAGAGATTCCTCAAAAAATTAAAAATAGAAATACCTTACTATCCAGCTATCCCACTTCTGGGTATTTATCTAAAGAACTTGAAATCAACAATCCAATGAGGCTTATGCACCGCTATGTTCACTGCAGCATTATTCACTATAGCCAAGAAGTGGAAGCAACCCAAGTGTCCCTTGACTGATGAATGGATAAAGAAGATGTGGTATATATATGTATATATATATATATACACACACACACACAATGGAATACTACCCAGCCATAAAAAGAGACAAAATCATCCCATTTGCAACAACATGGATGGACCTGGAGGGTATTATGTTAAGTGAAATAAGCCAAATAGAGAAAGACAAGCACTGTGTGACTTCACTCATATGTGGAATATAAACTAACACATAGACAGAAAGAAGAGTTTGATGGTTAGCAGGGAAACAGGAGTTGGGGGGTGGGCACAAGGGGTAAAGGGGTGCATTTATATGGTGCCTGGCAAATAATAATATACAACTGGAATCTCACAATGTTATAAACTATTATGACATCAATAAAAATTATAAAAAAATAACCATAGCGACTATAATTTGTTAAAAAATATGCAGCATAAAAAGAGTTAACTTGTCATATCAAAAATATAAAATAGGATAAGTAAAAGGGTGGAGCCTTTATAGATGAACAAAGATATCTCGCTATCAGCATAAAATGTACTGTTTTATCTATAAGATGTTTTATGTAAGCTTCATGGTAACCATAAAGCAAAAATCGAGAGTAGATTCAGGAAACATAAAGAAAAGGGGAGACAGAGCATACAAACACGGAAAACCACCAATTTACAAACGGAGGCAGAAACAAACAGAAAAAGAAACAATGGAGACACAAAACCACCAGAAGGTAAACAATAAGAAGCAGTAGTAAGTCGTTACATATCAATAATCACTCTAAATGTAAATGGATTGAATTCACAAATGAAAAGGCACATAGTAGCAGAAATGATCAAAAAAAAAACAAACAAAAAAAACAAGACCCAACTATATGCTGCCTGCAAGAGACTCATTTCAGCTGTAAGACACACAGAGGCTCAAAGTTAAGGGATAGAGGAATATATTATAAGCAAGAAGAAACAAAAAGAAAGTGGGAGTAACCATACTTATATCAGACAAAATAGACTTCAAGGCAAAAATGGTAACAAGAGACAAAGAAGGTCATTATATATAAATATAAAAGGTCACTTCTTCAAGAAGACATCACAATCATAAATATATAAGCACCCATCATCAGAGCACCTAAATATATTAAGCAAATACTAACAGATCTGAAGGGAGAAATAGATAATAGAATAATAATAGACTTCAATACCCCACTTTCTGCAATGGGTAGCTATCCAGATAGAAAATCAAGAATGAAATGCTAGAATTGAACGATACTTTGGATCAAATGGACTTACTAGACATATATAGAACATTCCATCCAACAGTAGCAGAATACACATTCTTCTCAAGTGCACATGGAACATTTTCTAGGATAGATCATATGATAGGACACAAACCAAGTCATAGCAAATTTCAGAAGATTGAAATCATACCAACTATCTTTTCTGACCAAAATGGTATGAAACTAGAAATTAACAAAAAGACAAAAGCTAGAAAATCTACAAACACTTCAATATTAAACAACACACTTTTTTCTATTGTTTCCCTTGCCCACTCAGACATAGTACTTGACAATAAACAAATGGGACTACATCAAAATGAAAAGCTTCTGTGTAGCAAAGGAAACCATCAACAAAATGAAAAGACAACCTAACAATTGGGAGAAGATATTTGCAAACCATATATCTGACAAGGGTTTAATATCCAAAATGTATAAAGAACTCATACATCTCAACAACAACAAAACTAATAACCCAATTAAAAAATGGGCAAAAGATCAGACATTTCTCCAAAGAAGATATACAGATGGCCAACAGGCGCATGAAAAGATTTTAACATCACTAATTATCAGGGAAATGCAAATCAAATGAGATATCACCTTACATCCATCAGAATGGCTATAATTAACAAGACAGGAAATAAGTGTTGGAGAGGATGAGGAGAAAAGGGAGGTCTCATACACTGCTGGTGGGACTGCAAACTGGTGCAGTCACTATGGAAAACAGTATGGAGGCTCCTCAAAAAATTAGGAATAGAACTACCATATGATCCAGCTATTACACTGCTGGGTATTTATCCAAAGAACATGAAAACATGAAGGCATAAAGATATATGCACCCCCATGTTCCTTGCAGCACTATTCACAATAGCCAAGACTTGGAAGCAACCCAGGTGCCCATCAAGGGACGAATTCATAAAGAAGATGTGGTAAATATACAAAATGGAATACTACTCAGCCATAAAAAATGATTAAATCTGGCCATTTTTGACAACATGTATGGACCTTGAGGGTATTATGCTAAGCAAAATAAGTCAGAGGGAAAAAGTCAAATACCATATGATCTCACTCAGAAATAGAAGATAACAACAACAAACTAACACATAGAGACAGAGATTAGATTGGTGGTTACCAGAGGGAAAGCAGGGAGGGAGAAGGACAAAAGGGATGATTAGACACATGTGTATGTTGATGCATTGTAATCAGTCTTCAGGTGGTGAACACGATGTAATCTACACTGAAATAGAAATATAATGATGTACACCCGAAATTTATATAATGTTATAAACCAATGTCACTACAATAAAAAATAAAATTAATATAAATAAATAAACAACACACTTTTGAATAATCTATGAGTAAAAGAGGAAATCAAAAGGGAAATAAAAACTTATCTCGAAACAATGAAAATGAAAACACATATCAAATCCTTTGGGATTCTGCAAAGCAGATCTAAGAGGAAAGTTTATAGCAATAAATGTATAGGTTCAGAAATTTGTTGTTGTTATTGCCATTGAGTCAATCTGACTCCTAGTGACCCTGTGTACAGCAGAGTGGAACCCTGTCTGGTCTTTTTGTGCCATCCTCTCATTTTCTGGTGCTATATCAGACAATGCTCTTCTGCTACACATAGGGTTTTCTTGGCCAAATTTTTCAGAGGTGGGTGGCCAGGTCCTTCTTCCTAGTCTGTCTTAGTCTGGAAGCTCCACTGAAACCTCTCCACCATGGGTAACCCTACTGGTATTTGAAATATCAATGGCATTGCTTTCAGCATCACTGCAACAAACCAGCTGCCACCATATGACAACTGACAGATGGCTGGTGTGGTTTTCTGACCAGGAAACAAACTCAGACTGCAGTGGTGAAAGTGCCAAATCTCAACCACTAGACCACCATGGCTGGCTTCATATATATTAAGAAATTAGAAATGTCTAAAATAAACAACCCAACATTACACCTCAAGGAACTAGAAAAAGAAGTACAAATTAAGCCCAAAGTTAGCTGAAGGAATAAAATAAAAACATCAGAGCAGAAATAAATGAAATAGAGACCAGAAAGAAAAACAGAAAGGATCAACAAAACTAAGAGCTGGTTTTTCAAAGATACAAATGCAGTTGACAAAACTTTAGCTAGATTATCTAAGAAAAAAGAGAAAAGACTCAAATCAATAAAACTTATAGGAAAGAGGAGACATTATAACTGATATTACAGAAATACACAGGATCATAAGAGCCTACTATGAAGAATTATATGACAACAAAATTAGATAACCTAGAAGAAATAGATGAATTCCTAGAAACACACAACCTACTAATACTGAATCAGGAAGAAATAGAAAATATAAAAAGACGAATAATGTGTATGGAGACTAAATCAGTAATCTAAAACCTCCCAACGCAGAAAATTCCAGGACCAGATGGCTTCATTGGTGAATTACACCAAAAATTTAAAGAATAAATAATGCCAACATTTCTCAAACTCTTCCAAAAAATTGAAGAGGAAGGAACACTCCCAAAATCATTCTTGCAAGGTCAAAATTATCCTGATACCAAAGACAGATAAGGACAATACAAGGAAATAATACTATAGACCACTACCCTGATGAATATAGATATAAAAATTATGAACAAAATATAACTAACAAAATTCAAGAACACATTAAAAGGCTTACACACCATGACCATGTACAATTTATCTCTGGGATGGAAGGATGGTTAAACATATGAAAATCAATGAATGTAATATATCACATTACTAGAATGAAAGAAAAAAAATCACATGATCGTTGCAATGGACACAGAAAAAGCATTTGAAAAAATACAACTTCCTTTCATGACAAAAACCTTCAATAGATTGAGTAGAGAAGAAAGATACCTCAACATAGTAAAGGCCATATATGACAAACTCACAGCTAACATTATACGAAATGGTGAAAAACTGAAAGTTTTTCCTGTAAGATCAGGAACAAGACAAGGATGCTGACTCTTACAACTCTTATTCAATATAGTACTGGAAGTCCCAGCTAGAGCAAGTAGGCAAAGACAAAGAAATAAAATGCACCCATTCAGAAAGGAAGAAGTAAAATTGTCACTGTTTGCAGATTGTATGATTTTGTATATAGAAAATCCAAAACACTCAACCAAAAAACTATTGAAACTAATCAACCAATTCCAGTAAAGTTGCAGGATATAAAATCAACATACAGAATTCAGCTGCATTTCTATGTACTAACAATGAAATATATGGGAAAAAATAAAGAAAACTATCCTGTTCCCAGTATCATTAAAAAAATAAAATATCTAGGAGTAAATTAAACCAAGGAGGTGAAAAATCTGTACTTTCAAAACTAGAAGACTTTGTTGAAAGAAATCAAAGAAGACACAAACAAATGGAAAGACATCCCATGTCCATACCACCCAAAGTCATATACAGATTCAGTGCAACCCCCCAAAAATTTCCCATGGCATTTTTCAGAGAAATATAATAAACAATCCTAAAATTTGTATGGAACCACAAAAGACCAAGAATAGCCAAAGCAACCCTGAGGAAAAAGAACAAAGCCAGAAGTATCACACTTCCTGATTTCAAACTATAATACAAAGCTGTAGTAATAAAAACAGTACAATATTGGCATAAAAATAGACACATAGACAAATGGAAGAGAATAGAGAGGCCAAAATTAAACCCTTGCATATATGTTCAACTAATATTAGACAAGGGAGCCAAGGACACCTAATAGGGAAAGGATCATCTCTTCAACAAATAGTGTTTGGAAAACAAACACCTGCAGAACAATGAAATTAGACTCTATCTTACACCACTCACAAAAATTAACTCAAAATGGATCAAAGATTTAAACATAAGACCTGATAACATAAAATTCTTAAAAGAAAAATATAGGGAAGAAGCTTCTTGACATTGGTCTTGGCAATGATTTCAATACCAAAAGCACAAACAAGAAAAGCAAAAATCAAAAAATGGGACTAAATCAAACTTAAAAACTTCTGCAGAGCAAAAGAAACAATTAGCAAAATGAAAAAAACAACCTAAAGAATGGGAGAAAATTCATGAATACCCTATAATGGATAAGGAGTTAATAGCCAAAATATAGAAATAACTTATACAACTCAATAACAAAAAATCAGTTTGATTAAAAGATGAGCAGAAGAATTAGACATTTTGTCCAAAGAAGACAACCAAAGGGCCAACAGGTACATAAAAAGATGGTCAACATCACTAATCATCAGGAAAATGGAAATCACCTCACACCTGTTAGAAGGTGTGAAGGTTAGAAGGAGATATCACCTCACACCTGTTAGAAGGGTTATCACCAAGAAGATAAGAGATAACAAATGTTGGAGAGGATATGGAGAAAAAATAACCCTTGTATGCTGTGGGTTGGAATGTAAATTGGTTCAACCACTATGGAAAATAATATGAAGCCTCCTCAAAAAATTAAAAATAAGTCTATATGATCCAGCAATTTCACTTCTGGGCATATATACAAAGGAAATGAAAACATGATAACAAAGCAATATATTCAATTCCACATTTATTGTAGAATTATTCACAGTAGCTAAGATATGGGAACAACCTAAGTGTCCATAAATGGATGAATGGATAAAGAAGATGTGGTATATATATATACAATGGAATATTATTCAGCCATGAGAAAGAATGACACCCTGCCATTTGCAACAACATGGATGGACTTTGAGGGCATTATGTTAAGTCAGATAATCCAGACAGTGAAAGACAAATACAGTATAATGTCACTTAGATATGGAATCTAAAAAAGCCAAACCTGTAAAAACAGAGAGGGGATGGGAGGATAAGAGAGATGTTTTTTAAGGGTGCAAACTTGCAATGTTAATAAGTCCTAGAAATCTAATACACAGTATACTAAATATAGACAACAATACTGTATTATAATCATCAAACGTGCTAAAAGACTAGAATTTAATTATTCCAACTACTCAAAAGAAATGATATTTATGTACCATGAGATAGGTCTCTACAATGGCATCATATTACAATATATAAATGTATCAAATTTAGAAAAATGAATTATTGGATGGGATCAATATCATTACAGAAATGACAGAGGAATGGGTCAATAAAAATTATCCAATCTGCAGAACAGAGAGAAATAAGATTTAAAAAATGAACTGAGATTCAGAGGTCTATCCAATAATATCAGAAGGTGTAACATTCATTTCATTAGAGTCCTAGAAGGGGAGAAAAAAGACACTGGTGTAGAAAAAAAATTTGAAGGAATTATGTCTAAAAACTGCTCAAATTTGGTGAAAGATAAAAATTTATAAATTCACAGATGCATACATATTAAATTATATACCTTAAATATGTGCAACTTGTATATGAATTACATCTCAACATAATTTTCAAAAGCCCTGTTAATATTAAGGTTTACTATTTCATACTTGAATTTATTCACCATTAAAAATTAAGCTATTGGGGCTGGCCTGGTGGCATAGTTGTTAAATTCGGTACATTCTGCTTTTGTGGCCCGGGTTCGCAGATTCAGATCCTGGGCATGGACATACACCACTCATAAAACCATGCTGTGGCAGTGACTCACATACAAAATAGGGGAAGATGGGCACAGATGTTAGCTCAGGGCCAATCTTCCTCAGCAGAAAGAGGAGGATTGGCAACAGGTGTTAGCTCAGAGCCGATATTCCTCACCAAAAAAAAAAAAAAAAAAAAAATTAAAATATTAAATATCTGTAGTCATTAGAGAAATGCAATTAAAACCACAGTGAGATACCATTGTACACATACTAGAATGGTGAAAAAAAATTTTTAAAGTAGCCATCTCACACACCGAGGAGAAGTAGGAGCAACTGGAATGCTCATACATTGCTGACGGGAATGCAAGTTGGTAGAGCTACTTTGGGAAAAAGTTGTTTCTTATAAAATTAAACATACTCTCACCGTATGACCCAAGTAATTCCATTCCTATGCACTTGCCTAAGAGAAATAAAAACTTACATTCACACACCTAACTGTACAGTGGATATTTATAGTAGCTATAAAGCTAAATAATTGTAACCACCAAAAACTTCACATGATCCAAATGCACTTCAACTGGTGATGATGGATAAACAAACTGGTACATTCATACAATGTGATACTACTCATCAATAAAACATGCAAAAATGTAGATTAATTTCAAATATATTATGCTAAGCAAAATGAGCCATACACAAAAGACTACGTACTGTATAATTCCATTTATATAACATTCTGGAAAAGGTAAAACTATAGAAATGTTTTCCAGGGGTTGGAGGTGGGTAGAAGGCTTGACCATAAAGTGGCAATACAAAATTTTTTCAGTCAAAGAACTACATCTTGATTGTGCTGATGATTACAAGGCTCATAGAACCGTATACCAAAAAAGTAAATTTTAGGGGCAGGCCTGGTGGTGTAGTGGTTAATTTCATAGACTCCACTTCAGCGGCCCAGGGCTCGCAGGTTTGGATCCTGAGTGCAGACCTACATGCCACACATCATGTCAGGCTGTGGTGGCATCCCACATACAAAGTAGAGGAAGATGGGCACAGATGTTAGCTCAGGGCCCATCTTCCTCACCAAAAAAGAAAAAAATAAATTTTAATGTATCAAATTGTTTAAATAATAATTTAAAATATAACTTTAGGAAGAGCTACCATAGCCAAGTCTTTGTGGTCATCCTTAATATTTGCCTAAAAATATTCCTAGATATGTTTGCTGAACAAATGTTATGCACATTTTAAGATCTTTGATATGATGGTATATTTTTCCAGACAATGAACCCAACTGGAGTACCTTCCATCAGAGAGTTGCCCTGGGGGCAAGAAGTGGGGAGTATGTCATCTCAGGTTCCTGGGCATGCCTTGCTTCAATTTAATGAGCTGTTATTTTGATTGATAGTCCTGTTTTCAATAGGAATTGTTATGCACGTAAATGATGTTTATAGACATGGATTGTAGACACTTACAATTTAGTAGTTAAGAGGCTTAGCTCTGAAGTCAGAAACTGCATAGATTCTGCATAGGTCTACTAATGCCTAGCTGTGTGACCTTAAGTAAGTTATTTAACCTCTTCAAGCCTGTTTCCTTACACATACAATGAAAATTAATAGTGCCTGTCTCAGAGAGTGTCAGTGTATTTGTTCCATAGTAAATACCCAATAAATAGCAATGATGATGATGATTTATAATTTTAGAATTTGAGGATTATATAGGACCTGTTTAGCAGATGTATAGTACAAGAAGCTCTACCTACTTGCTTCTTACGCTGACTCCTTCTGGACAAGCAGCCTTAAGCAGTTGTTTCTGTATAAGATTGTCATGCCATGTGATATGGGACCTTGATAGCCTGGCCACAAGTGATTGAATCAGGGATCTATGCCAAAGCCAAATTCTTCTAGAACATGGTTCCATAAGCTATTGGGGATAATGAAATTCCTTCCTCCTGAGAAAACTGCACATTGATTATACTTTGCCAAGGATTTTAGGGAGTCTGTGGACATCTTGAAGATGTCCTTGGGCCTCAAGATCACTGTAATCCAAAGGC